GGAATTGCATCCACTTCCATGGTTATTTCATTTGCATAAGTACCAATTTTCAATATATTATAATGTTATCATAACTTCCTAAAAATAAATTTCTCACTACTGTTGTTGATAACTGCCAGCCTTAAAGCGATAAGATAATAAACATAATATTATACATAATAAGCAATCGTTTTTTTTTTTTTTTTTTTTTGTTTTTTTAAATTATTTAGTTATTTATTTTTATTTTTAATTATTTTATTATTTTTTATTTTTAAATTAATTATTTTTTATTTTTAAATTATTTTTTTGGGAAGGTTTTAAAATTTTTTATTTTAAATTATTTTTTAATTATTTATTTTTAAAGAGTTATTTATTATTTTTTAAAATTCTTAAAAGTAAGAGACAAATTTAGAGAGAGAGGATTGTGAGTGAGAGAATTTGAGAGAAAGAAATGAGTTAAGTATAATATAGAATAGATGTGTGTTGTGTATTTTTTATGTGATGTGTGAAATATGAGTTGAATATGGTTAACCATATTCAACCCATCTTGACCCTTAAATTAAATAGTTAAAATTAATCATCCTATCTTGGCCTTCAAATTAAATATGATTGACCCATAACCATTAAAAAACGAGCAGATATGAGCGGATTGATAGTTTTTGATCCATTTTACCACCCCTAGGATATATATATATACACACACACATTTTTTTAATGAATAATAATCAACCATCTACCTCAATATTCTATTTTATTAGATTTATTTTTTTGAACTTATTATTTTTCTAATATTTTATGGAATGGAACATACATCTACTGATGATATCTTATATTGAGCAATATTTTTTTTTTACCTTCAAATTGAACTTTACGAGTATTTTTCAATTTAAGTCATCATGATTTTATCTTGCAATATCCTTTTTCCATGCTCTATTTTATAAGTCGTCAATCCAACATATTGCCGATATCTATCACGTCACAACCAAGTTTCATTATAATATTAAACTTTTGTTTCTAGATTGATTTTTTTTTTCTTTTTTTCTTTTCATAATTTGTCTCCGTAACTATGTATGAAATACCTTTAGGTTCCGTTTGGTTAGATGAAAATAAGATAGAAAAGAAAAGAAATAGAAAATGAAAGAAAAGTGAAGTGAATGAAAAGAAAAGTGATTTTCTAGTATGCATTTGGTTAGCATGAAAATTTACCTAAGAAAATTGTAGAAAAATATTAGTCTGTTAGTTTGGATAGCATGAAAGTGAAAAGAAAGTGATTATACATACCAAAACTATCATTTGAGAGAGATATATGAGTATCTATATATATATATATATATATATATATATATATTGGATACTGTGTATATATTTGGAATGAAAGAAATCGTTAAAATAGCATCCCTAATTATAAAAAATTCTGCAATTATAGATGTAATAGTGATCTAAGACTATTAAACTTATTATTTTAGTATGATTTGGGATTATAAGTGGCTAGAATGACAATATAGAACAGATAATTAAAAAAAAAAAAAACATATATAACTGTATAAATTGCGTTGCCAGAAAAACGTTGAGAGAGAACTTACCTTTGGAGAAAAGTTTGCAACGATTAAACTACTGGCGCGATTCTTTCATGCGAAAATAAAATTTTCGCATGTTTTTTGAGGGAAAATTTTTAGGGGAAAATACTTCACACGGGAAACTAAATTTTCTATTACGATTCTCTTTCTATCTATCCAAACTTTAAAAAAGTTTAAAAATTTTCTCTTTCCTTTCTTTTCTAGCTGTTTCTACCTAACCAAACAAAGGCTTAAGAAAAATAAAATAAAATCCATGTATGAACCGATCACTGGCAAGTGCTGCATCGCTAGCACCTGCACAAGATGTGGTACGATCTTAAACCAGTGCTTAATAGCTTTAGAGTATCTCTAACAGTATGTTAAAATATATTTTTTTTATGTAAAATATATACTGCCAGGTATGATGTGTAAATTTTTTAAACTTTCAGCAAGTTATTAAGATACACAGCCACGTAATCAATGTATAAAATTGTTGTATATTTTACATAATTTTTTTACATAACCACATCAATTTTTTTTTTTTCTCCTCCATCTTTCTCATTCCATTAAAAAATCAAGTCTATATTAAGTAAGTTTGTAAAAGTTATGTAGGGTCCTGACATGAGACATGATTAGTTATTCTTGGAGGATATATTTTTACACAAAAGGTATAAAATAACCGCTGGACCTAAAAATAAATAATTTAAATTTGTTTATGTAAATCTATCATGGCACATCAGATTTACATAAAAAAAATATATATATAATGGTTGGAGATGCTCTTAACATCATTAGTACTTGTAAATGTGTCTTTTTAACTTATTTTATTACTTTTGTTTTAGGGTAAAGTACAATGGCACCTTTGAAGTTTGGGTAAAGACAGTCATATATAAGTTAGCCTATTTTTGGACGATAACATCCCCTTATAAGATTTGAAAACTAAATAGAGCCTCAAAACATGTGAAAAGTCTACTTTATCCTTCATTATTTAATTAATTTTAATTATAAAATACCAAAACAATTGAATGACCAAATTACCAATTAAAACAGTTTACTTCTCTTCTGGCGACAACTCACTAATATTAGCGAACTATGCTTTCTGGCGTACTTTAAACCAACACAAGCTTCTAAATGAAGACCGACGAGCTCTTAACAAAAGAGATTAGTTCCTGTCTGAACTTCATGAGCTACCTTCACCAAAGAATCTTCAACTACTGAATACGGAAGTTTCCAACGACTTTGAGTTTCACTTCGGTGTTCATCACTTCGGTGGGATTGTGGAGGCGGAGGGGTGTGGTGGAGGTTGCAGTAGTGAGTGAAGAGAGAGATCAAAGGGGTGTGCGTTGGTGGTTGTGGGTGGGGATGGCAGTTGTAATGCTGACACTGGTGGTGGTGGTGTTCATCCGTGTAGGGATTAGGTGGTGGGTTTGAGGGAGAGGTCATTGAATATTGACTAGCATAGCAGTGGCTTGTTTGGGTTAGGGTTTGAGAGGGTAAAGAGAAGAAGAAAGCGAGGAGAGAAAATTTTGGTTTTTCATATGGGTTGTTACTCGATAATCCATTTAAAACTATTTAATCTAAGAATATTTTAGTCAATAAAAAATGGTTGTATTGTTTAAATTAATGATTTAATGTGTCCAAGGGTTAAAAACTCAATTTACCATTGTCAGAATATCTTTGTTAATTTTATCATACATGAGGGGGTGTCATCGTCAAAAAATAACCCAATTTATATATGGTTGTCTTTACCCCAAACCTCAGGGGGTGTCATTGTACTTTACCCTTTATTTTATTTATATTTTTATATCAACGGTTAAAATCATAAAATCCCATATATTTTCAAAATTGTGCATAAAATCTCAATAAAATTTTAAAAACTCCTTGAACTAACAAAACTTATCACGTAACTTCAAACCTATGACTGAATCGTTAAATTGGGTGTGAAATGTCAAATTTGCCCTTATTATTTAATACTAAATTTAAACCTATAATTATTATTTTAAAATTATGAAGATAATACTGGGATGAGAAATGAATCATCGATCGCTAATAAGATAACAACAACTCATTTAACATTAAATAGTATTTTTGTAAAGGGGCATTTTTATAATTTTAAATAATAATATTATAAAGAGTCGGTCATGGGTTTGGGGGCTACTTGATAAATTTTCTTAGTTCAGATTTTTTTTTTTAATTTTATCGACGGTTTTATGCACGATTTTATGAATTGAACCCTTATATCAAATTATATTGTTGTGTAATTGCATGATAGTTTCTTATCTGAAAATGTAATTTTTTTCAAAAATGTTAAGTCATAAAATCAAATATTGTGTTTGTATGCGTATTGTCTAGTAACCAATTAGATGCATGTTTTAATTTTTAGTATTAGTAATATATTTAGGTTCTATTTGGCAACCACTTTTTATTTTTTTATTTTTTATAGATATTCTACTATAGTGAAGTAAAACAGACATGTTTGATAACATTTGCTGCTATTTGAATAGTTTTGAAAAGTTTCGGAAAAAAATTCCAAAATCAAAAGTATCAAATTGGTGTTTCAGCTCACAGTGCCAAAAATACTATAGCAATGAACAATGTAAGTCATCACAAGTTTGACTTTTAATAATTTTTAAGTTTGAGTTTTAATAATTTTTGTAATAAAAATATGTTGAAAAATGTCACAGGGAGCAAGAATGTAAAAAGGATAAAATCTAAATCACACGAAATAAAAACCGTGACGTGATCGTGCCAAATTTAAGATCGGTACCACAAGTATTGTCTGACATAGGGAGGACAAGTGCAGCTATTGTCCTTCGGGACTTGAGAAAACTTTTAAAAAGGTTTTATAATGTTTTATTTCAAATTACAAAACATGCAGTATTCAAACCTCAAGACCAATATATAGAGTATGCTTAAAGTCAATTTAGTGTAAAATTTGGTTAGAATTTAAACTTTCAAATTTGTCACAAGTCATAATCAATTATATTTAAGGAATTTTGTAATTATATTTAAAAACATTTTCTCCTAGCTGTCGATGCCAAATGATAAGAAGTGCACAAGAAATTAAACATCCAAATTAATTTTCCGCCAATGTTTCCCTTTGGTGGCACAAATCTATCTATTTTAGGATCAACAATTTAACATTAACATCTAAATATGTATATTGCCTTGACAAATAACTTTCATAATATTTTTTTGGAAGATTTGAACACTCTACTCTACCTTTCACTTTGAAAGGAGAAAAAATAACACTAAACCACATATCTGAAAACATAGAAAAATAACTTTTATTATATTTTTAGGAAGACTTGAACACTCTATCTTTCACTTTGAAAGAAGAGAAAATACCACTAAACCACATGCCTGAACACACTCTACCTTTCACTTTGAAAGGAGAGAAAATACCGCACACTCTACCTTTCACTTTGAAAGGAGAGAAAATACCGCTAAACCATATGCCTGAACACACTCTACCTTTCACTTTGAAAGGAGAGAAAATACCACTAAACCACATGCCTGAACACGTAGAGAAATAATATTTACAACACTGTGAATATAAATTATGAGCTATCCCATCAACCGGTGTATCTCCCAGTAAAATAGGCTAAAGGTCCAACCACGGCAGCATTAATGTATGTGGCCGGCTCGGAGTGACTGTAGTCAGTTCGATCGTCGGGGAAGAAGTCATTCTGATTGGGTCCCCCCACGATGGCTCCGGTTAATATATTAGGGTTAGGGTTTGATGAATAGTAGAATGGTTGGAAACCTCCCTCGCAACCGATGGATAGTGGATGGCTTGCCACTGATGGCAAGGAGGATCCCCTGTGGTGAATTCTCTTCGGATAATCAGCTCCAAACCCTACCATGTAGGACATTTTCAATGGGTTCTCCCCCAAAATGTAGTCCACCTAAAATGTCCATAACTACCATGTTAGAACTTCATGGGTCCGAAAGAAGAAGGTCACACAACCAATTGAAATACACCATTCATAATCATAATCAATGTTAGGGTTTATTACAATGATCCCCTAAGGTTTGGAATGAATTACATGGAAATTTCCTCTTATTTGAAAAAATTACATTGACCTCCCAGGTAACGACTTTTGTTAGCATTAGTAACTTAGAATTTGATATAATTATGGCACCCATTTTTGTAATTTTTGTATTATTAGGAGAATACAATGTAATTTCTATAAAACTTGGGGGAATTTGGAATAATTCACTTTGTTTATTTTCTTTCTTTTTTGTGGGCATAATTCAACCTTGAGCTACATTTGGTAGCACGGAATTCATGCTTTAAAATTGAAATCGGAAGAAATTTAATTTAAAAAAGTGAGTTACCTGTCTCTTTGCAAGGTTTCGCAGGTCACTTGCAGTGACCAAAACATTACCACAGTTAAAGGTGTGCTTTGTGGCCGTCATGTATTTGCCGTATGTGGTAAGCAAGAAGGTTATGGAGGTCACATATTGAAGGTTACTTGCACTTAACTTGTACATCAACCCTCCTGCATTTAAAATATACAAGTGTTAAAACCATTTTAACACGAGAACTTTCAAAAATTGAGGTCTGTGTGTATTGGCATTAGCGAATTGGAAATTGCTACCACCAATTAGTGATATCTCCTCTATTTTTAAGTGAAAAATGAGGGTTCAAGTCCCATTAAATACAAAAAGTGGATATGAAAAGTGGGTTCAAGTCCCATTAAATATGAAAAGTGGGTGCGTAAAATAAAAATAAAAGTGGTTATAATATACTCCATATATATATATATATATATATATATGTATATATATATATATATGTATGTATATATATATATGTATGTATGTACCTGGTGTATACTGTGTACTTGTTGAAGGGGAGTTGGGTAGAATTCTGCACATGAAAGCCTCGGCTTCTTGTTGGAATGGCTGGAAAGCATTGTCTTTGCCTAGCAAGGCTCTCTACGGACAAAATATGAACCATAAAGTCAAAAGTGAATAATATAATCAACTCAATAATATTTTATATCAAACATAAATATATATATATAGACAATTATAAAATCAAAACCATGTAGCTAAGTTTCTTTAATAGCCAAGTTTTTACCCTTGATAGGAGAACAAAAGCACCAGCATATTTGTTGTCCCAGCTAAAAATGTCTGTGGCATCGTTAGCTCCCAAAGATTTTATGAAATTGAAGTAAGAAACATCATTTGTCGCTCTAAATAGCCACGTTGCTCCCCACAACAACTCATCCTGTAAAAATTTTGAAAATAAAAAAGAAATAGGGCAAAAATGAGTTTCAGAATTACTTTCCAAAAATGAAAAGAAAATGGTGAAATCAGAATTACTTTCCAATTATTCTTCTCCCAAAAAAAAAAAAAATCTCTGTACCAGCTAGGTGATTTGAAAAAAAATAAAAAATAATAATTTATCAGAACAGATATCAATTGGGTAGTGAGTCCATAGTTGGGAAACCCAACTGAAAAACCCATTATCTGTTCACAACTCTGGGCCAGGACCATATGAGAAGGTCCATTATGAGTTTATATTGGGAAGGCCTACGGAGTGAGATGGGCTAACTATAAGAGGCCCACTATACTTTCTTTTTCTTTGGGGGTAATTTGGGAGTGAAAAACTCAAACACCGCTCCGGGCATCTGCCAATTAGGCCACTACACCCACCCATGCACTTTTACACTTGGATTTGATAACTATAGTTAAAAGCTAAGTCACATAATTAGTTGAAATAGGCCCGTCCCAAGCCCCAATCCACAATTTGGGAGTGAATTCGTCAAAAATTTCAATTCGGGTGAGCGAATTCCATTTTGTACACTGATTTGTTGTTAGTTCATAACACTAGGATTTCTTATAAGTACTTAGGTTACATTACTTGGACTAGCGTGTATACACCCACTAATATTAACTATTTAAAGTTAAACGATGTTGCACTCTCACTCTATGTGATTTAGGTTAAAAGCATATATGCATACCTGATATCCAGAATATGAGCAATAGAATGGGCAAACTGCAGAGCCAAGTGAGTCACTATAAGAACCTTTATACTGCATTGCAAACTGCATTACTTTCTTTGCAGTTCTCAGGAGCAATTTGGAGTATACTGGATCGGCAGATCGGAAAACCAAAGAAGCTGCCGCCAATGCTGCGGCAGTTTCCCCGGCAACATCAGACCCGGGGTTGGACGGAGACACCGAATAGACGGACCGGACCGTGTCCATGTCCTCAGGCCGCTCCCAACACTTGTGATCAGCATTTGGGTCACCAACGCCCACATAGAGCCTACCCGGTGTGGCCGTGGCACATTTTAGAAGATAGTCCGTGGCCCAACGGATCGCAGCCCTTGCATTTGGCAACTCGGGGCCCATCTTCTTGCCGTGCTCGAGCGTGGCCCATGATAGCATCGTGGTGGAGTAGGCCATCGGAAAGTTGAATTTTACGTTGTCTCCGGCGTCATAGTAGCCTCCGGTTAAATCCACCTACCATCAAGTTCAAGTTCAAACATTTTTTTAGTCTATTGGAAATTTTAATTTTTTAAAATTTCTAAATATTGATATCACAATGGACAATATAAGGAAAATCAATTTTGTTGTTGAATATTAAACATATAACATCACCTTAGTGGTATGTGAAACACCTTAATTTTGTAAATCAAGGAATATATGTGTATATATATATATATTTATAATGAAAAGTGATGTGTCTATTCAGTTTTACCAATGAGTTACTCTGATTAATGTGTGAGTAAAAAATAATGGTGATAATTAGTCAACTTAATTATGAAAACAATATAATTATGGTGTCGCATGGACCACATTGATGATATTATTGGTTACCTTTTTAAGCAAAATGACTATTTTGACCCAATTAGTTTAGCAATGACAATAATAAAAACAAAAACAATAAATAATCTTTGAAACACTTGTGGTGGTTACTCATGGATGTTTACAGAGTCATTTTCTTAGGCCTTTTAACAATATCTACCTAACCTTGAATGAGGCAGAAGAACAAAACATATGCTCTAAGGAGTACTACTGCTCATAAATATAAAATGCTAAAAATAATTGATATATATATATATATATATATATATATATATATATATATATATCATAAATGCATTATGCAGGAAAATGCAGTTATAACTTTAGTAACCGTTAGATTTCTTTGAATGGTTAAAAAACAATTTATGTTTCTACACCAGTGAGCAGGTAACAGTCATCGTATGTGTATCTGTGTGTGTGTGTATATATATATATATAAAAACTAGAAAAGAATAGAAAAAATGGACATACATGGGCTTGTGAACCATCGGACAGGCCGGAACTGGACCTCCAAGAGACTTGCTGTGTTGTGGGGAGCCTCCCTGACCTCTGGCCTTGGAAGAACAAAAGGGACTTTTGTAGGGCATCTCTGTAATTGGGGTGCCCTTGGACACTGCCCCAAGACAACAAGGCCAAAGAGAACAAAATGAGGTAGACGGAAGCTCCTCTTCTCGTCAGAGCCATTGTAAGAGTATACAAGGGCTTGTTTGGCGGTTAAGTTTATGGCTTTGACTCAACCAATGACACGACTTTATATAGGCTCACAAATCCAATCACAATCACGCAATTTTAGGCTTTTCTTTTGGAGGGTCATTTTGTTTAATATTCTTGTTAAATTATATTAGGGTTTAGCCATGCTTAAACATGTTGTGTAAACAATTTTAGGGTTTAACATGTAAAAGTAGTTGTCCCTCCAAAACTAATTAATCCAATTTTGACTTCAAAATATGCTTGTTTTTACGTTTATCGGCAACTTTAAGTTACTTTATAAGCTGATTGGGACCAAATCATAACTTATTGATTTATGTTTATTAACCTTAATAATTGGTTTCCATCTTTATGAATTTGAATCAACTCGTTCGAGTTTGAGTTAAATTGTATGAGAACTATTCTAACTCGGGCAATAAAGAATCATAAATATAAATTTGCTGCCCATTAAGATTGTAATCCAATTACTATATTTTTTTGCCATATATATCATACATATAAATTTTTTGCCCATGAAGTGGTTTTGCAGTATTACTTGAATGGGAATATATGAGTAGACTTGTCAACAAATCGAATCCGACAATTTGTTACCTTAACAAATTGGATATGAATAGTGGGTAATTCAATCTTATAATAGAGAGATCATATTCGTACTCCAATTGCACTCCACTTATCTTTTTCTTTAAAAAAAATGACAAAAAGGTAATTGAATTCATTAATGCAATATTCCTTATTTTATAATGTCATAACTACCCATTATATATCTTTAACTTTTTTCTTTGTTTTTTTTAAACTTTCTTTAGTTCCTGGAAGGGGGAGTTATGTTATTTAAAAAGTAATTTATTTGTAGGTTGAAATTGTTATTTTATTTAAGATTGTAGTGCTAACGTAAAAAAATGGATGCCAATATCACTTCTCTAAAATTATATATATATATATATATATATATATATATATTATAGGTACTTCCATCCAATAATAATCTGATTAAATATATACTCTTGCTCACCGGTAAGCAAAAAAATTTATCCACACTTTATATATGGATAGTTAGATTAAATCTAATGGCCACATTCCAAACCCCTATTTTTCTTTCCATTTACTAGAAAACCACTATTGCCTATTTTAGTTTCCAAATTTAAGATTATCAATACCACCAACTTAATAATTAAGGTAATTACTAAAAAAACAAATATTTTCTATTTCTGATCATGTCTCTTGCTCACGGGTATCTCTCTCTAAAACAAAGAAATTATTTACATTCCTCTAATCTAGTTCCAGAATTTTTTAAATAAAAATCAATACCAACCAAATTTATGAAAAAAAAAACCCTACTATTGTCAAAATATTCTCTGCTCTCTTCACGTTTCTTGCTCACGTGTCTCTTTCTCTCTCAAAGGAATAATAATAATAATAATAATTATTATTATTATTATACTCTCACTTCTTTTGGAATAAAAATCAATACTAGGGATCCCCATACTGACATTTCCAGAAGATGGAATTCTTGGATTAATTCTTTTTTTCTTTTTTCTCATTGTTCCTTGCTTTGTTAATTTATTAACACCTTTATGACTTTGATATCTCGTTGGTTTACGTGTGTTTTGTGATATGCTGAGATTGCACAAAATAAAAAAACTAATAATAATGAATTGTGTGAATCTTTGTACTATGTTTTTAGATATATATTAATGATTGCAAACAAGAAAAAAATTTAAATGGATGGATTGGACTTATAAAATATATAAAAGAATATAATATTTGGTAAATTCCAATTCCTTGTATTTTCTATTTTGAAAAAATATATATATTTTTTATAATTGCCTTAATTATTAAATTGAATGGTGTTGATCGATAATCTTAAATTTGGAAACTAAATAGGAGAGAGTGATTTTTTTTAATAAAAGTAAGGAAAAATAGTGAGTTTGGAATGTGGCCGTTAGTGTGTCGAAGCATCATCTCTAGTACATGCCTTAAACAAAAGTAGTTCGGTCATCATCCTTGGGTGAACAAAAATTTATAAATACCTAAGTGCATGGGAGTAATTAATTGGTGCTTTAAATTTAAAATTAAAAAAAAAATTTAATTTAAAATTTGAACTAAATTTTTCTTCACTTCCAAATTAAATTTGTTGATTCACTGCTCCAAACGCAAAAAAAAAAAAAAATAAATAAATAAATAAAAAAAAAAAATTAATACAGTAAATATTTTTTCCCCAGATGGGTTCAAAAAATAAATAAATAAAAAAATAAAAAATAATTTCTCATATGATAAAAACTTAGCAGGGTTTTTTCTTGAATTTTCCAAGAAAAAAGAAAAAAAAAAAAAAATTCAAGAGTTCAAAGTACACGAGTGTACTTGTTTGAGTTGACTCAACGAGCACCGAGTCATTTCACACAAGGCAACAGTGAACACGGAGTATGAAATTGGCGCTAGTTTGTTTGGCGCACGCCCGACCACGGCATATAAATGGCCCCGATTACATGCAAAAAAAAGTAAGGAATTTAAATTTGGGTGTGGTTTTAGAGGCAGTAATCAAAACCTGAAAACCGCAAAAATAACGGCCACTTGTTGAAAATTTGTTGAGCAATGGGAAGGCGCGAATGGCGGGCTTTTAGGAAGCCCTTGGATCGCGCTACGAAATCGGCGCCAAAGTTAATAAAATGATGAGTGTGGGTGGGGGTTAGGCAAAGGGATTGATTGTTTTTTGTTTTTCTATGAGTATGTTGCTTTCATTTGATTCTCTTTTTCAAATCCCCATTTCTTCCCATGCTTTAGGACTAAGACTTTGATTCTCCTCTATATATTTTTTTTTCCTCTCCCTTTTTGCCCATTTCTGCCTAATTTCAATTAGAAAAACATGAAAGTATTAACTTTTAAAAAATAAAAATAAAAATTTTCGGCGGACAAAATGTAAAGACACCTTGGAAATCCAAAATAATAATAATAATAATAATTTAAGGTCAACAGCCAATAGATTGTTGACACGTAGGCGAGTTTTTAAGTAATAACATTTGAGGGGTATAAAGGTCTAACAAATTAAGTATAAAAACATACTTGAAACAATTGAGGGTAATTTAGGTATTTTATTTTATCAATTTAAAGAAGAGGTGTCGGAGCAATTTTTGTTCAGAATTACTCTAAGAGCAATAACCCAGACATGGGAGCGTGTTGGAATGTTTAATCCTAAAAAGAAATAAACTTAGGTGATATGAACATATGTAATGAAAACCTATAACATAATTACACAAGCCGTCTCTATTGATTGGAAACTTACATTGACTTCTTCTATTTGACATTTTTGTTCAACGAGACTTAGGTTTTTTGGATATAAAATATTTTTCAGAAAATACTTTTTTATTTTGTGATATTTAATTGTCGTAAAATATTTACATAGAAAAAAATATTAAAATCTAACGAAAATAACTTACTCATTAATTTTCGACAAGTTATTTTATATGCTCCGCCCAATAGACTTGATCTCATCCTTGACCCAGGCCTTTGCAAAACACCGAAAAATAAAAATAAAAGAAAATATTTTACGTCGAAACAAACGGAGTCTAGGAAGTATAATTTTACTTAATTGCTTCCGATGTTTATTATATTATTTTAGTTGAAAAATATAGTTAAAGTGAAACGAAAAAAAGGCAAATTAGGCATTTTGAAACTTAATTTCACCGACATAAGTAAATTATGTCCTTGAATAATATTAGTAATGGTTAACCTAAAATGCATTATAATCAATTGACATTAACTCAGATGGTATAATCTCTCAACCCAAAGAAAGGTTGAGTGTTTAAACCTTATTAGGGATAATATTGCGGGTGTTTGCATATATATATATATATATTTTTTCTTAACACTAGCAGAGAGGCTAATGTAATTTTTAAATCGATAGGATAAGGCTGCATAATTATGGTATACCTCAAAGAATGAGTGTCATTTGTTCAAATATTTATTATAAGAATTACTAGTTATTTCTATTTGTAAAAATTAGGATATATATATAAAAAATATTTTCTTAAAGGCATGCACAACTAGGCATGGACCCAATGTGAGACCATGCCCACAATGAATTTTTTATATTTTCATTTTTTACGTTAATTTTTTTAGAATTTATAAAGATGCTCCTACTAAAATTAGAATTTGCCTCTACTGAATTTTTTTTTTATTATTCTATATTTTAAATTTTTAAAAATTTATGAAAATTCTCCCACTAAAATTACAATTCAACCTCACTGATTTATTTATTTATTTTGCATTTTATACTTTAGATTTTTAAAATTTTATAAAAACTTCAATTGAAATTATTAAAATGAACCCACTATATAAGTTTGCCCCCACAAATTAAAAATCCGTCCCCTCTCACAAAATTCTTTCAATCCGTCACTATGCACAACACTAAAGCATAGCATCTTTTTAAACAGTGCTTGTTTCACTTCTCTAAAACAAAGAAGTTATTGAAATTTCAGAAAATTATTTTCATAATATTTCAAAAACAAAACATTTTTTAACTGAATTTTTAAAAACTAAATTAAACCAACCTTAATTTCTTTCCTTTGACATGTGCCCCAATACTCTGTTACACATGTAAATAATGTGGATGTGAATATATAGAAATGTACCCTCATAACAAAAAGCTCCGTTGTTAGATTCTGTTCCTGTCATTACTCAAGTGCATATTATTTGGGTAAAAGTGTAGAGCAGTAATAAATTCCCTTTTCTCCTTTCTTTTTGATCTTTAACAGTTTAACTGGGCATGCCTGAGCGTGAAATATGATAAAATGGGAGACAAATTGAGACTAATTGTCGGGAGATTCGGACTGTCCTTGCTAATGAAAATTGTTTAATATGTTGCAAATTAAAGATATCATTGATGTTAGGGAAAGTGTGAGGTCTCAATATATATATATATATATATATATTGAGGGACACACACACACACACGTTCAACAGCTTTTTGGGAGTAAGAAATTAATATACTTACTTTTAATTATAATCTTGAGATTTAATTCTACAATAAAAAGTTAATAAGAAAAATAACAGAACTAAACAATTTATTAAAGAAAACAAGAATAAAATAATTTGGTTACTTTTTGCCAAATTCGCAAGCAGCCGCTAAGACGAAGTAAAATTAATTTAAAATTAAAAGTCATCATTTTTAGTTTCTTTCCCAGACTTTATCAATTCTATTGATAAATTATAAAAACTTCTCAAGCAATCTTTATTTAATGACCATTTTTTATATTGCTTTTGATTATTTTTTTTACTGGACAGACAAAACCAGGCGAAAAAGTAGCCAAATTATTTTAGTCTTGTTTCCTTTAATAAATTGTCTAATTTTGTCATTTTTCTTTAACGATATTTAAAGATATGAAAAGAAAATGTAAGTTTTTTAAAATAAAGAAAAGAAAAGTAAATTAACTAATTGCCGTAGAATTAGATTTTAAGGCTACAATTAAAAGTGAGTATCTAATTTCTTGCTCCCGGAAGCAATCGAACACTACTATATATATATATATATATGCACACACACACATATAAATATATTAATAAATAAGAGATCATTGTAAATTCTAGGAAAGAAACAAGATATATACACACACACACACATAAATAGTGATCTCTTGTTTATCGTGTGGATTTGAAATGCTCAAGGATATTGGTGAATTTGGTCCGTTAAATTAAATTTAATGGTCACAGTAAAACGTGCGAATATATATATAAAAATGGATGTGATATTACGATTTAAAAAAGGATCACCGATACGACGAACCAATTATATAAAAAATCAATGGAACTACTTCAAAAAAATCAATGCAGCTCCCCTGGCCATAGTTCTTTGTTGGGTGATTTACAAATGCATGAATGTAGGCTTTTAGGATAGATTGGTTAGATTAAAAGTTATATTTATGATTATTATCCAAGTAAGATCTCCACCAATAATGATGAACAATTATAATAAAAATAGTTTTTGACCTAGCTAGCTTGGTTGCAATTTGAAGCCATTGAAATAAAGGACATTGTTATATCCATATAATAAACAGTGAATCAACGCTTTACGTCTTTTAATGCATTGCATTGATCCCATTGAAAAAGAAAAAGAAAAAGAGAAGAGAAATTGCTTGCATAGCTTAGTGCTTTTTATTTTAAATCTGCTTGCAAAATTACTCCATATGGATTTTAGAGTTTTATATATATATATATATATATATATATATATATATATATATATATATTGCTTAGACGTCAATTTGATGGCGGGTCACACAGCAGGTCAAAGATCTTCTAGCAGTTCAATGAATTCCATCCATTATCTTAAAACTTTTCTGATTTTGCCCAGTCTAGTGATAATATTGTTGATTTAAAGTACTACCTCTGTTTTTTTAATGAATAATAAGGGTATTTTTGTCCAATAGGTGAGATCAGCAATGGAGTCATAAAAAATAATTAAGGGCAACTTTATAATTTATCTTAAATAACACCTATATAATTCATGATTACAATTTTAAAAGTTAAAACTAAAAGGGAAGAAAATTGAATCAATTAATCTACAACTTATTTCACTTTAGTTGTATTAGATCCAATGTTGTACTCTACCAGATGATTTACAGTGCACATATGCGTGCATGATTACACGTGTGAGATGTGAACAATCCGATACAATATAGCACCCGTGTTGTATTTGAAAAAAATTCGGATTCCAAATTGATTAGTCCATTTTAACGTGGTCTGTTTATATCACGACAAGTTATTTATAAGAAAATGCATAGAGGCCGGTACACATATTAAAATTTAATTAAATTAAAAAATAAAGAAAGATAAAAAAGAACCATCTAATTATATTTTGGCTAATGGGATTCGACTTTCAAGATACCTTAACTTGGTCAAAATTGATGTTAGAGGTGACATGGAGCTCAAAATATTAGCCATATTTAGCCAAAAATTACATCTTTGAACTCTCTTTGTCCAAAACAATAATTTTTTTTTTTTTTTTTTGATGGAATTCCAAAACAATAAAATTAATCTGATGTGAAATTCATTCTTTTCCTTCCTATTCTTAAAAACAAAAACAAAAAAATTAATAATAATAATAAATCATTCCACTCATTAATTGCACTACTAAAAACTAATTATGACTTCGAGCTAGTCCGGGTGGGATCATGGATGAGTACTTTGCGGTCTGCTCAGAACAAATGAGACAATGCGGTCATTTGACGAGATTGTGAGGAAATGACTCCACCGGTGGTGGGATTTTCCGGTAAGATTATTTCATATCCGTCGTGATATTGCTCCATCCCTTCTGCCATGAGCTGCCACACCAATCCGCCACCAATGCCGCCGCCTCCTCCACTTCTAGCCAAGTTGTAGATGTTTCTATAGACAGTGTTCAAGAATATATCTCTTCCATTTACACTGTAACCTGAATCTTTACTAGACTTCCCGAATTCGGCTATTACCAGTGGCTTCTTTAGTATCATTCTTGAGTCCTCCCAATGGCTTCCCATCCATTTTTGCATAAATGCCATTTGTGAGTAATCATTTTGTCCAGACAACCTATAAAAAAAACATAATGCACGATACTTAGAATATATATATATATATATATATATATATATATATATATATATATATATATATAAGTTACACCCCGTCTAATAGTTTTAATTATTAACAACATATGTGTATTGTACTGAATTCGAATTCATTGTCACCCTAGGGTTAGAGTATTTGTTGGTAATTTGTGACGAAAATGTGTTTCATCACATTATACCATCATAGAAAAAAATTTATAGTAAAAAGTCCTTTTTTCTCTCAACTCCGGCATATCTGTTCGAAAACTGGGTGCTGTATCAACTAGGTTACTGAGTAATGTTCGAATGAGAATACTTAATTTAATTACCATATATCGGGATATGCATGCATAGTTGTGAAATCTATTTCCTTGATGAGATTGTTGCTAATGAAATCTGTGCCAACTTGGTAACCAGGATTATTTTGCTTCTTCTCAGACATTGAATCTCCATAAAACCCTTCCATGCCTATTTCCAGCAAGTGTTTGTTGTCTATGGATTTTACGAAAGTAGCCATCTCTTGTACCCAACCCTGCACTCGATCATTTTCAATATTAATTAGCAAAATGGATTTAAATTAAATTAAAGTTGATGATAAATTTGTGGCTACGTTGATCAATGCTCACGTTAATCGTTCTTCCAGAGTAGTCAGCTTGGCAACGAGGCTCGTTCATGAGTTCCCATGCCATGATCATTGAATCGTCCTTGTAAGGGATTCTGGTTATGGTGTTAACCCTAGTGAGTACTTTCTGCAACACAAATTATGGACGTAAATTATAAAATTACTGTCAACTTTGTTCAGGTACATGCAAAAAAATTTAATTAAATCATCAAACTAAAGTTTACACAAATAATTAAATTTTTAATTGAATACTCACCCCAACATGGTTCTTGTAATACCCTTTAATCGCTGGGTTAGTGTAGAAATCATCGTTGCTACTAAGCTGTTGCACACCAGCATTTCGAGCCCATTGAACATATTGTGGTCGCCCTCCAAAATCGTTGTAATTGTTTGCCAAACTCAAAATTAATCGAATTCCATAATTTCTTGCTTCCGAAATCACAAAATCTAATGCCTGAATTAAGCAATGCTACTCAAGTTATACTCGCGAGATGCATTGAAGTGAGACTCAATGTGATTTTAATCTCAATAAAAAAAAATTACAAATTTATAACAAAAATAAGAATAGTAAGTAATACTAATTAATAGTGAAATAAGACTGTATACAAAGAGTTATTGTAAGTGACCTGAAAAACACGTTCATTGTAAATGCCAGGTGACATTTGCAGAGCTCGATCACCACCACCGTCGCTGAAAGCCCAAGTCCGGCAAACGGAGAGGCCGGCTGCAGAGGCTTCACGGAACACTTGAGATACTTTGTACCTCTCAATGGGGTCAGCTGCAAGATTCATCATCCAGTAGGAATTGAACCCATTAAAGAGAAATGGTGAGCCATTAAGTACAAAATGGTCTCCCCTAGTTCCAACAAACCCACCATCGGTTATAACCCTAGCTTCACAAACAAGAGCTAAGAACACAAGAAGTGCCCAAATATTATAGGTGATTCTAATCAAACTAGCCATTGGGTTGATGAGACAAATATTGGTACAATGCAAGAAAATTTGTGGATGACTAACTAATGAGGTTATGGTGACTATTTATAGTGAAATGTGGATAAGGAAATTTTTCCATAAATAACTTTCCCAAAAAAAAAAAAAAAAATTCCATAAATAGAAAGAAAGAAAAAATGTAAGCATAGATTTTGGTGTGCTGAACGGTCTGAAACTGTGGGTTTGATTGTAGACTTTTTGACAACAATAAGGTTTGGTCTATTAAGATCACGAGTTCAAAATGAGAAACTGTATTTTTATATTGTTGTGGAGCCATCACAGTCAAAAAAATATTGTTTTAGACAGAGATTGTTTAGTTGGGAACCTCTTCTGTAACAGTACCGTGCAATACAGCAGCAGGGACGTTGTGTTTGTAGGGATCAAAATCGTCCATGTTGTACAACACGATACTATTACAGCAGCTAAGTTGAGAGTTGGAAAGTGATCAAGAAAAAAGGATGGTAGTTGAAATGTGAGTTGAAGGTAACATGCGTGTTTTTAGGTCATGACATCTTAGAGAGAATTGCTAATTTTAGCACGTCTTGCATATGTGTCCATGTGGGTGACTATATAATTGATGTGTTGATGGCGTGGAGGTTGTTTCATTTCCTGAAAACATGGATGATAGTTTTAAGATTTGGATCATAACAGCACCGTGTGCTATGACGGTGTGAGCGTTATGTTGTTTCAGCAGAGGATCCATTACGAGTTAGAAAGCGAGTTAGAAAGGGAGAGAAAAAGATTGTTGATTGTTGGGTCGTTGAAATGTCAGTTGAAGGTAACATGCGTTTTTAAAGGTCATGACATCACAAGAATGGCTAATTTTAGCATAACGTATTGCAGGGTGGTCCATGTGGGTGGTTTTATAATTGATGTGTTGATGGCGTGGAAGGTTGTTTCATTCCCTGAAAACCAGTTAACCAAACATGACAAACCTATTCCAACCAAAATTAAACATGGATGACATATATCTGTTTGTAATTAACATAAATTCAATTATTTTAATGCTATAACAAACTCATATTTTGGTTTGAAAAAGTAGAAAGCACTGCAAAAATCCTTTTTCCCAGATTTTTTTTCTTTTTTGTTTTTTTCCTGGCAAACAAAGGGGAGAAAAAATTCAAACACGGACACACCTGCTCAGAATACTCTACCAACCAACTAGGCCACTGGATTAGATAGGGATGGATAAAAGAAAATAATCAAAACAAAGCAACAGAAGTCCTCAATTTTTGTATAATATTTTCCCTTTAATCTCATTACAAACCATTTCAAAAAATAGTCTCAAACCCAGACAACAAAATTAAATTGTTCATAAAAGATGAATGGAAGAGCAATTTCGTCCTGTATTATTATTTCATAGACCCCATTCATGGGAACTGACTGTTCTGAAGAATACATATCAACTTGAATAAGACTTTCTCAATACCAAAATTATAATTATAAGATAATAAACAAGAAAAGGAAAGGGCAAATGCAAAAATGAGACAAAATACAATTGAGGAATGCAACACCATAGGAAACAAGACAAACCAATCCTACAACAAACCTTACAATCGCATAGAGCCACTGGCGTCGCGCTGGGGAGTGTGTGTCCACTGCTATCTTTTTTCTCTGATATTTCAGGACATGCAACAGTCCTAGGGCACGTGGTACTGATTCTATACTTGTTGATTCACATCACTCATTTATCATCCGGAGACTAAATTGAATTTTGAATCCCAATTATAGCAAATCCATAAGGGGTGGCTGCTCAGATGGCAATTTGGCACGGCTAGAGCGTGATGCTGAAGAACCGGATTGCCCTTGATTTCCCCTCCCTCTTCCTCTTCCTCTGCCCACAGAAGTTGTTGGAGGTGGAGCAAGCCTAGGTGCAGATTGCTCACTCTTGCTAGAAGTGAATATAGATCCAAGATCTTTTGTTTTCGCATCAGTGTAAGTGCCAAAAGTTGAAATTCCTTGATTTTGTTTTGAAAACCCAAGAGAGCTCTGAGGGTTGAGTCCGCTGTTAAAACTACTGGTATTCAATGTTGAATTACCTTGATTCTGTCTCAATGGCTCGACAGAATTTTGGATATTGAAGCCCCAACTGGTACTACTGTCATTTGTCTGAAAATTCAGACCATTTGGGGTACTAGAATTTGAACTGGACCCATATTTATTAGCTGATGGTGACATTGTAGAGCCGTTGGAAGATACAGAAGCACTTATGGAACCGCTAGGCCGTGGGGGCCAATTAGCAAAAGGATCTATATCATCAAAACTTGCAGTGGATGTTTCTGCATTCTGATTTTGTTTCTCGTTATCACCTAATTGATGATTAACTCCAGAAGATGACCGAGGGGGCCACTCTAGATCAACTGGTGGACATGACACCGCAGTTTGCTGGCTAGATACAGCAGATATCATAGGGGATTGTGTGTGCGCCGAAGCAACTTGAATTGGTTGATTGGCTATAACAGGCTGAATGGATGAAATGGTTGTTGAAGAGGAATGTAGACTTGGGGGTCCCTTCCTCGTTGAAATCCAATCTTCATCCCATGCAGGACTGCTCATCGTAGTAGATGGGGCAGTTGAAATAGTTCTTTTTACTGGTTCTGACTGATGTACACCAGCAGCAGGAGATGGTCTCACCTGTGGAATTCCCGAGTCAGTCAAAACTACTCCGCGCTTTTCTTCTATTTTCCTGTAATGCACAAAACAGAAAGGGACCACAAAATTAAGAGACCACATATATAATGTTTTGCAAATCTTTTGTAGACTGGAGGAAAACTTGAATAGTTTTCATGGCTCTAATGTACACCTTGTTATATGAAATCTACTTTTGCCTACCCAACCCGCCCCAATAAAAATAATTTCACAGCAGACAACTTTAGGGTCCCTTTACTATAAGGAATCATTTTCTGCTTTGCTTTCACTCGAAAGCAAAATCAGTGGTTATAAATTCATTAGTTGAAACAGAAAGCAAAATTGCGCCTACTGTTTCCAATAATTTGAAAGTTAAAAACAGTTGCAGGATCCAGTAATTGTGTCTTTTTTTTTTCTTTTTTTTTTTTGGAATTGGGAATAATTGTTAAAACTTAAAAGGTTACATTAGAGACTAGACACTTTTTGACATGTTTGTGGTCTTATTTGTGTAGCAAATTTTCAAGCTAGGAGGAGTAGAGTTCAACGGACATGTTACAGTAATTTGTGTAGTAACTGTCCTCGGTATTTCATTATTCATAGGTGTGGCAGCCCTATGGCCTGCCCTACAATTTAATTTTATTCTAGTTCATTTTGCGTACTCTCATCTTAGCAACTGATAAAGCATGTAGGCAAGAATCAAAATGCCAAATAAATAAACCATCCTGTTACATGAAAATTTTGCTACAAAGATTGGGAAACAAAAAAACCAAATCAATATTTCTAAATGTCAAATAAATAAATCACAATATTTCTAAATGTCGTAACAAAACCAAATCAATTTCTAAACAAGTAAGATCATGATATTTGAAAGCAAATATTTATTCAAATAAACTGATTTGACATACAATGGAAAAATTAAATTACTATTAAAGCATAATCATATTCCATATTAAAGGCGCATACAAGTGCTTAAGGCTCCTTCGGGCCATGGCCACAACTATCATATAAGGCAAGGCTTGGAAGCAAGCTACCAGCGCCTATCGGAGAGAACAGGGTTTGGCTTGGTTAGTAGTGCCCGCCCAGAAAAAAAGGTCTCAATGTGGACCCTCACACTGACCCAAAAGGAATGGAGAAAAGAAATTGGGCCCGTGAACTAAGGAATTTATTGCATACAAACTTACCCATCTAGATGAGAAAATCTTATTTAATATGCCAATCTCCAAGGACGTGAACAACATGGAATGAGTAGCAAAAATGCCCTTCGGAGGATAAGTTGAAGGCCTCCTTTTTCTTCTTTTTCCTCCGTGCAGGTCTGAACCTTAGCCAGACTGGAATTCGGCCACGCAAATAGTGTCAAAGGCGCACCTGGGCACACAACAAGCGCAAGTGTTGCGCATGAATGAGCCTGGAGCCTAGGCGCGCCTTTGACAACACTGGGCAGAAGCAATTCATCTTACAGTGAGAAAACATTCTTGCTTTCCTTTTTCTTCTTTAAATTAGGAATTGCTTTGTTAAAAATAATAAGCAAATATATTTTATTAAACATGATTTATACTTTATTCTGGTTTTTGGAGGTTGACAGCAGAAAGCAGATTCCTGCTAATAAAGGGCCCCTTAGGGAGACAGCGATGTAATTACATTATGCACTGAAGAGAAATAGAGAGAGAGAGAGAGTTGTAACGGATGGTAAACAATACCTGAGGATATCCTTAACAAAGAGCATGTACTTGGCAAACTGCTGAACATTCAGTTGTTGGGCAGTGAGTAGTGGTGTGAGTAGTGGAAGGACATGCTCCGCAACAAACTCTATCCCATACTGAACAAAACGCAGAACAAACAAAGGAACTATAAGCTATAATTCCACGAGTATGAAAGGGGAAAAAAAAAAAAAAGATACAAGTTGTTTTATATTAGTGTCAGGGCAAAGCAGCTATCAATGAAAACTAGTACCTGTTTCAGAATTGAGTTCGCAACGCCAAGGGTGCACATAAGGGTTGGAGCAGATCGGTCAACAGCTGTGCAACGATGGATAGTTTTCAAGATATCTAAGACAGCAGGTTTATCAAGCATGTGAACTATATCACCTAAACATAACAGGGCATTTACTCTCACCTGCCAGCAGAAAACCACTAAAGTTTCAGACAAAGACTTCATTGCCGGGCACAGCACCCATTGAAAATTCATGGAAATTATTAATAAAGAGTTATGTTACATGGGCTCTGTTAAATGCATACGCATCATACACACTGGCATGGGAATGAGTAGAAGTATGTGTCAGAATTGTCTCGTTGGACATCAAACTATTATGCATCTCTGATAATTCAAGTTTATTACATTAGGATGCATAAGAAGTGATGTTCTTTCATTACGTTATTGCTTCGAAACGAATGAAGTACCCACATTGTCATTTTACCTAGAAAATAAAAGACAAATATTAAAAATATACATATGATTATTCAACCAACTTCCATTAATCTTGATTTGGATATATGATAAATCTTTATTTCTTGGTCTACATACCCACGCTTGATACACCTACCCGACCAAGTCTGTGCAACAAAGTTCAGAAATTTTGAACTGCTTATGATGTTTCGCAATTGCACATGATTTACTAGGGGTCAATGCTTCTTGCAATAGTAAAAGGCTCAAGCTAACTAGCTTAAGGATGCAACTTTGAGTTTGAGGGCAGTTATTTCATGCAAATAGTGTTGAGTGCTAGGTTTAAACTTGGTCCACCACAAACAGCATCCAACATAGATGGGACCAGCATCTGTGAAGTCCTACTCTTTCAGAGTTTCCCACACGTTGCAGTCCTAAACATGTCGAGTTTGGAAAATCAAAACTAGATACTTAACATGAATGTTAAGGATAATATTCTCGTGTTTTCCATTGTACTCTTCTCCGGTACACAAGACTAGAGAAGTTAGGAATTAGAACATTCTGATTGAGCCAAATTATCATTAGGAGACAAGAGAATATCATACTTCTTTTTTAAGCAACTGTGATGTTGTGGCGCGAATTTGGTTCCAGATCACGTTGCAACCCATTTTCAACTCGACGACCCATTGATTGAGCTTTGTGCGGAGCAGCGTTCCAGAGGAAAAAAAAATTATTTATCTGGTTTTTTACTAGTAGGTCGTGGACCCTGTTTAGTACTCTCGTAGCCCGATATACAAGGGCGCTTAGGGTTTGGAATGGGTTGATCAAGAGACACTGAAAATCTCAGAAAAGAGAGAGTGAGACTTCTAATCGCCAGATTTTTGCATAGTGAATTCTTTCGCTAGATCTTCACTGTGGACGTAGGTTTTGCCGAACCACACTAAATCTTTGTGTTCTTTGTGTGTAGCGTGTTTATTTTATGTCGTATTTCTTGGTCATTTATTGGGTTCGCTGCGTTTGTTGTAGCACAAACAGGTACAAAATAGATTCAGTTAGACTGGGCCAGTCGATAATAAGATAGGAAAGCAGTGAATCATTGTGGCTGTTCTACCACATAAATCTAGTAGAACAAGTCAGTTAATGACATTAATGTCTGAGCATTACCAATCTTCATCTCCTTACTTGAAAAGGTATAAAGTGGCCACACTTATTTGGGGGAATGTACCACACAGTATGGTGGAGAGAGAGAAAGAAAAGAAGAGAGGAGGAGGAGGAAGCACAGAAACATCTATGAAGATGCAGTATCCACGTTGGACACATTTTGGACACTTGCAGACACGTCATGCATTTTTAAGATTCAACATGTTCGCATACCCCTGTCATATCATATCCGTGTCTGTTATTTAGCATATAATTAGGCCTTTAAAATTTCTAAAAAGAAAAGGATCCTAGAAAATTTTGGGACACAGACACAAACATTAATAGCCATATTGTCAAAGAAAAGTATTCTGGAAAATAGGAATTCTGGAAGAAGGCTGACGATATTGTCAAAGTTCCTGTCATATCATATCCGTGTCTGTTATTTAGCATATAATTAGGCCTTTAAAATTTCTAAAAAGAAAAGGATTCTAGAAAATTTTGGGACATAGACACAAACATTAATAGCCATATTGTCAAAGAAAAGTATTCTGGAAAAAAGGAATTCTGGAAGAAGGCTGACGATATTGTCAAAGTTCGGAAGCCATTGACAGATTTCATGTATGAGACTGTAGAATGTGCCAAACTGTAAATCTTGACAGATGCCGATACAATAAGGATTATTGGAAGATCATTGATAAGCCGGTGGAATTTTCAACTGCATCATGATTTGCATTCAGACAGTATGAAATAGGTATATGTTTAATGTTTTCTACTCTATGTTATAGTCTACTAATGACTGCCATTTTTATTATTAGGTTATTTCTTGAATTCACATAACTAATATCACACCACATCATTCACAAAGACTACCATAGGCATAATGAATGGAGTGGAAAAGGTCATTCGTGAATTGGAACCAAATATAGATTCTCATATCTATGGAATCAATCAATTAGCTGCTACTTAGAAAAGTAAATTAATTAATACTATTTGTTAGATAAATTTACAACTTGTAACTTGCTTGACCTATTGTTATTGGTTCCGAGAGCTGTTGACAGGTTGCCCCAATTTTGCCACCCCAAGCCTGTAGTATAATTTAAGTGCTCAACTAACCGACCTCAACGGCCCTAGCATTTTTTTGGAGCCACGGCGTACTTCTAACAGCAATGATTGTGCATCAATTAACAATGCTAAAACGATAGATTCTAACAAGGATATACATGGAGCAAACAATTTTGACCTCTAAGGTGATTACATACATAACCTTGTAAAGATGAAAAATAAAAAAAGGAACTTACCGCCGCAACTGTTGTTTTAAGAGCCAAGCCATGAACACGGGGCAAAATTGCTTGTTTTACCAACTACAAAACATCAATATAAATACAAATAATCACTATTAGAAAGTCAAATGAAGCAAGTCTATAATACCATTTTTCAAAAACTTCTATCTAATTATTGGTATTCCAAATTTTTATGCATTATTTACTTAGTTATTGGAAGTAAAATACTTTTTCTTTGTGAATGACCTCGGTTTGTGTTGGTTTGTTTAACAAAGGAACCATGCTCAAACACAATTTTCAAGTTCGATTAATAAATGAGCCAATCTAAAAAAACCCGGACTTGGCTCGTTAGTTCGTGAACGTGTTCGTGAACAAGAAGCTCTATATATATACACTAATAGATAAAAAAAATTTGGGCCTTAAGTTACTTAAAAGATAGAGATTAAACAACCCAATCCATTCCTATTGAAATTAATTAGACCACCCATCCCTCTTAAAATTAAAATAGACCTACTTATCAAAAAAAAAAAAATTTAAAATAGACCCAATCCATTCATCTTAAAATTAAAGCAGCCCAAGCCCAACTACCCTATGATATATAAGCCACCAAACCCCTATTCTCAACCTAATCTTTTTTTTTTTTTCTTTTTTTTTTTTCCTTCTTAGTTGGTACTCACACACCCATACCTACACCGAGGTTTGAACCCCTGACCTCCCTTTGAGAAGTAGGGGCTTGGTACCACTGGGCCACTGGCCCGTTGGTTATTCTCAACCTAATCGTCTTACTCCTTCTCATACTAACCCTAGCAGCAAACACAACAGAACATTGCTGCTAAGTCTGCAACCAGCAAGCCTCCAGTGACAAAACATTTTCCATCAAACATGCTGGAGACCTCAAAGCTCTGAGTCGCACATGCAAGTCTGCAACTACATATGCAACCTCCAGTGACAAATCATTTCCCAGCAAACACGCGGGAGACCTCAAAGCTCTGAATCGCACATGCAAGTCTGCAACTACATATGCCTCTCATCTCTCTGTTTTTGAAATTTCCATTGATGATGAATGAAGATATCTGCAACTACGCCAGCGTGCATGTTATCGAGCTCAAACCGATTGAAATACATAGCCGAGCCAAGCTTGATCATATTTAGGTTAGGCTCCATCAAGCTCAAGTCAAGTTCGAGCAGATCTATTGATTTTCTGAGCCTGAACACTCCAATACTCAGCTCAATTACAGCCCTAATGGTAACTACTTCCTAAAGCAATGGATGTCCCACAATCAGAAACTTATGTATACTGTTATTGGCACAAACCAGTCTAATTTATATCTAACACCAAATTAAGAACAAGGACAAATTCAATTAGTCATCCATGTGTTTAAGAATCTAATCCTGTGGTAATATCTCAAGCTCTTGCAGGCAACACCTGATGTGAACTTACCATGAAGCTTGGTTTAAAATGAGAATGCCATAGAAGTCCCACCACATCAAATCAAATTTTAACAAGGAGAAACCAATTCAGCAGCAGTCACTCTTGCAAAACTAACTTGCTTAGAGGATAGTTGGCATGATATATTTCTTTCTCCCCCTGTGAACATATGTAGCAATTAAGCAGTCTTCTCCATTCCCTAAACTACTTTAAAGGGAATTTTCTATATTACTCTTGTTTAGCCCAATGTTTATATATATATATATAATCTACTAACATATCAGTAGACACTTCTTTTTTTTTTCGGGGTGGTGTGTGTGGTGGTGTTTGGACGCGGGGGGGGGGGGGGGGGGGGGGGGGATATAATTTCATGAGAAGTGGAGGGATGCAAGTCAAGGATTCCGGCTATCAAAGAGAATTCAGTACAGATAATTGCCCTCAGGAATGCTATGAAGTAGATGACCCTCCATTACCCAAGTCTGACTCATCCTCGACCAAAAATAAGAAGAAAAGGAAAAGAAAAAAGCAAGTTATTGACGTAAAGAATTAAAAATAAGAATGTCATGTGGCAGTCACCTGAGCATCAAGTTGCTTAGCAAGGGTTACAGTTTTTTTCAATGCTTCCTCTTGCATGCGAGAATCATTATCATCATAAGCTCGAACAACCAAGGGGAGGACATGTGAAACCAAGTGCTCTTGACTTGCCTGTCATAATTACAAGACATAAGATATTATGACTTGACTGTGAACAGTGGTGCTTAACATGTTTCTATGACTAGTTCAGAAAGAAAAAAAAATATATATATATATATAAACATGCTGTCTCCAGAACAACAATAAAACCTCAAATGGAGATCATAATATTCAATAAACCATTATAAAGCGCAACTAATGCAAGAAAAAATAGAATAATTTCAACAATATCTCTGACTGAATTTGCTTCTGGATCTGGGAAAGAAAAGATTAAAATGTCAAGCTTTCTTTTTCATATAGAAAGTGAAATTGAGTAACAAGACAACAGATCTAACATCTAGTTAAATTATTTAACAATGGTCTCAGCCACAAGTAAGTCCTTTCAATTAAGAATACAAACAGGATATTAAATTTCAAGCAAGTTGAGAATCTCTAATCATTTTATCCAAAAATTAAAAAAGTACATTTAATTAGTAGCAGGATTAAGCCAAAGACTCATGTGCATGTGAGTGTGTAGGTGTGTGTGTAATTTTGTCAATACTAACAGTCACAGAAACTACATTCAGGGTGTGTAATTAATATCTTTGGTAATTAAAAGGGACAAATAAAAGAAGTAAAAGAAGAGGGAATTACAAGGACACTCAACTTAACAGCCTGATGCAGGAAAGCACTTTAAAGATTTAAAGTAATGCTTTCTAAGCTTAATTAATATGGAGGCTAAGACTTTAAGTTAAGTTGGGAAAAGGGTAATTAAAAAGATTTTAGAAGCAAAACAACAACAACAATAATAATAACAATAGTGGTAGTAGTAGACATATTGATCACAGTAAGTTGTTGAATTTCCATAAAACAATTAGTTGGAATTTCAAGACAAAAGTAATTCAGAGTTTGCATAGAAAATCAAATGTAGGAAGAGGTTGTTTAGATCAGAGAGACATTTCAAAAAAAAAAAAAAAAAAAAAAAAACAAAAACAAAAACGAAAAAAAAGAAGAAGCAAGGTTATGGGTTCAAACCAGGAGAATATTAACTAGTCAAATGGACACTTACTTATGATGAAAATTTCCCAAAAATAAATAAATAATAATCAATGAAGAGCAAGAAACAAAAGTAATAAACTAGCTAATAACTTAATCAGTAGAAACAAAAATCAAGTCCAATCTAAAAAAACCAAAGAAATAAAATTTGGCTAATTTTAAATACCTTGTTGATAATAAGGTCGGCATGCTTCACAAGTAACAATAGTGTCTCGCCTGCAGCAGTGCTCAGGACAGGAACAAGAGCTGGTAGTGTTGATAGCTCAAAATCATTTTTATCCTGCAATAGGTTAAGGACATCAACCAATGATCTCAACCAAGAAATCATGCAGCAATAATAACAAAAGCCAAATTGATAACAAATCAATTATCAGAAATCCTATAAACATTTTGCATCTACCACATGACATGGTAAATGACCGTGAAATTAAAATTATTCTTCTATGGTCACACAATATCAGGTACTCTGTGATGAACCGCATAAAGTGGTTTATAAAAATGCACAATTACAGGTGAAACCTATCAAGTAAAATGAAATGTTGAAAAAGAATTGTCACAATGTTGTGGCATCAAATTAAATTTTAAAAGCTTGCGCAGAAGGTTACAACCTTATGATGTCACCAAACACAAATTCAGGCATGAAGTAAAATTAACTTCATATAATTAACAGTGAGTTACCTTTTTTTTTTTTTTTTTTTTTTCTGATAAGATAACATTAGAAGGCTTTCAAAAGGGGTATGCATCCCACAAAAGCAACACAAGGACCAAATAGGGCCCTTAACCACTCAACAGTGTAAGTTATATGAATCATATTCATATATTCTTGTGGATTTTCATTAACTTTCAAATTCAAGTAACATATGCATATGAATGCATACCAACATACATAAATTTTTAAAAATACAAGCAGTCATTCATAAATACACGTGCAAATGTACGCGGGTACTCACACACACATGTAGTACTGCTGTGTGGTACGCACATGAACATGTGTGTATTATGTGCATGAATACGAATGTATGAATATTGTATTAATCACAAAGCAACATATGAGAACATTTATATTGAAATTTGGAAGGCAAAGAAATGAAGTACAGCATATGTATTCTTAAACTCCCCCAAAAGAAAAACAAACTTAACTGCCCAATCTCATCTGATCATAAAAGAAATATTACAGGGGAAAAAAAAAAATCAACTTTTAAATAATGATTTCAAACATAAGGAAAAGCTAAAACAAACATAAATAAGGTGTGAGATATATGTTTCATTTATTCCGGTATCTTTTAAATTTGGTATAAGAAAAGATATACACGACTTCCAATTTTTGTAACTAGATATATTACAAGTCTGCCACTGCAGACAAGCAATCACGCCCCCCAAAATTGTATACATGCTATACACAACTGTCAATTACAAGTGTGAATTATTGTCAATTCTCAAAATACCTCAAAAAAAATAATGATGCTTCTTATTCTCTCTCCTAAAATTATATAATTTTATTTTTGATGAGTCTCTCCAAAAATCATATTCATTTCCTACGGTAGCATTAGCTGATGCTTTATCAGAACACTACATATTGTCAACATGCATCTATCATTCATGATTGTGCCTGCATCACACGACAACGTATCATACATGCAGTATTTGACTACTGGTACATTCTAAAATTAAAAGATCAACTTGTTGGCCCAGTTGCACTTATGTAAAGGGAATTTGGAATTAAGAGACAGCAATTTAAGATGGCACAGTTGCACTTATGTAAGGTTCATGATTGTAATGTACTATTCTTTTTTTTTTTTTTTTTTCCATAAACTTCTTTTAGTACCTTTATTTATTTATTTTTTTCCTGAATGGGGTGTTTTTTTTTTTTTTTTTTTTTTTACATCTACTGATCTACAAAATATGCATTATCTTTTTTTTGTTCTTATTTATTTCCCAGATAGAAACAGATCTGATGCTTCTGTTTTCTCTTATTCTACATCATAGACTATTGACCAATAAATAATAATGAAATAATTCTTAAAAAGAAAATGGGAGCAATGATAGGGATTTTTCATTAAAAGGTGAGTTTTAAAAAAAAAAATTGTAGATGTAGGATGATTACATTGAACAGTAAGATCAAAAAAGTAATTATTAGTATTTTTAAGAACAAAAAAGAATAATTGAAGAGTTTTTTCAAGCATGATTGAAAGTAAACAAACTACTCAACAACAGGGCTAGGCATCAACCGATACAATTAAAACAAACGTATTTTATGTCCTTTTACTTCATATCATAATAAAGCAGAATATTTGAGACATCTGGTTATGTGAAAACATCAAGTCTACCGGTATTCAATAACAAGTCTACCAAGATAAGCCTCAACAGCTTTGTGGGCCTATTTGATTTTCACATATGCTGTGCTCAATAACTAGTCTATCAAGATAAGCCTCAACAGCTTCGTGGGCCTATTTGATTTTTACTTATGCCAAATGCAGAATTCGGATCACAAGGATGAACTAACTACAGTACCTGAGACTCTGCAATTGTTAAGACCATTGGCAGAATCATCGGTTGCATTACCATATTCCGAAGCTCAGCACAGAGAGGTGGAAGAACCTGCATGGAACATTATAAAATTCACAAAAGTGTTCATGTGGCTCAAAAGCAATAAAAGAGAGCACTGAATTAAATACATCATCCACAGTCAAGCAAGGTTGTCAAGATCAGGATTCCACATAGGATCTATGGGGGTCCGAAAGATTGGATCAAGGAGGATTGTAAGATTCTACAAAACTAGTAGAAAAATAACTCAAACTAACTTTCTCAAAACAAATATCTTCAATATAAACAGAGAATAAAGCTAAAACACACAGAAATAATACTTTTAGCATGTGTAACTTGGAACTAGGGACAACCAGATAAGTTTGTCCAATTATGTTGGAGAATGTAGCTCAAGAAGGTATCATTGCAGTAATCGCAAGTCCTAGCTTTTAAAAATCTGTGTTTTTAACGTTCGATTCCTGCTTTTTGTTCTTTTTTCTTTTTTTTTCCTTTTTCTTTTAATATATATATGTGTGTGTGTGTGTGTGTGTGCAATTAGACAAAAGAGTGGGACATTATACTTAAAAGCCTTAAATTTATTTGTACAGAATGCATTATAGGCCCAAAAGATCCAAATGAATAACAAAACAACTCCATTTAGTAGGACCAGTAAGATCGTATATCCTACTGCTATCCTCCTTCCGATCCTACTACGATCCTGGTTGGGTATAGGCCCAAAAACTCCAAAAGAAAGAACAAAACAACTCCATTTGGTGGGACCGGTAGGATCGTAAGATTCTATGATTCTGCTTCCGATCCTACTGATTCTCCTGTGATCCTGCTTTCAAGCGATTTTCCATTCAATCCGGATCAATTTAGCACTTTGGGATATGATCCTACAATCCGAATCGCGATTTTAACAACCATGCACCAAAGCAAACAAACCAAATATTGCAAAAACTTGGATTACAGACCAATTGGAAACACATCAGATACTACATTGATATGTATAACTTGACAGATACCCAGATTGCTTGTTATTGAAATGTAACCAGACACTTGAACGAAAATAGAAGTATTGAAGACGATGTGAAACTTCATGCTTTACTACTTAGAAAAATACAATAAAAAGGCAGAAAATCACTAGAAAGGATAAATTGTAACTCCATATATAGTATGAATTATACAAGAAATAATGCAAACCTTATACCGCAACACACGGGAGTCAAAATCCTTCCACATATCTGACAATGCTTTTAGAAACTCAGACTTCTGCATGTTATCTCTTCCCTGAAAGAAAATAAGATTCATTACTCAAAATATCCTATTTCAATCAGCCTGCTTACATTTTATTTTCATGCATAGTGCTCCAGGGCAACTTCATGAAAGTAGCATGCAACAACCAAACTTAAAAGTCAATGCATACAAGCATGTGGTCGAGGAAGCGAAGAGCACGCAACCTAGTGTCTTCCCGGAAAAAGGGGGAACCTGCAAAGAAATAACTTAATTTTGAGAAACAATAACATATTCAAATGAGACAGTTAAAACTGACAGTTTTTAGTTCCTATAGTATTACAATTAGTTGACTACTTCACATTAAAACAATGGATGAACACAAACCAAGTTAGGCTCTCCTACTATACAAATGAGAACGGTTCACAATGCAAAGTATAATGTAAGTGGAATCATGATTGCTCATTCAGGTTGTTTAGGTTTGGTTTTGTACCAAATTAACAACGCCAATGTTAGCAAGTAATTTTATTTGCACTCACACATGGAATATTATAACACTAGAGAGCAATTTCATCTCGTAATTGACATGAAATTCATAATGGTAGTCATATCACAACACATGAGTATCCATTAACATTAGACCAATTAAGAAGAGGAAATTCATGGGAGGCTATAGCTTAAGCTCTATTTATAGGGGATTAAAAAAAAAAATGGAGAGTTCTACAAGGCTAGCACATATTATCAAATAAATACTGCCCTATGATTGTTGGTGAAGTGCTCATCAAGAGATGCAAGTGAAAATAGTGTTGACAAGAGAATAGTTTACTCGAAGCTTTATAATAGGCAGTGAAATTGAACTTGTTTACATCCCATTTGCTTACTTTCATTTCTCCATTTTCCTTGTGTTATATGTTCTTGCTCATTATATTGTAAACAGTACAAGACTTTTCACAAACATTTTCACCTACATTACCATGAATATATGCATGTATACATCTACATATACATGGAAACAAGATATACTTAATAGTATACAAGAGGCGTGCATTCTTACCTGTAAAATCCAAGGCTGTTGGCCTGAAAGCCTCATTTGCAGAAAGCATTCTTTGCAAGTCGGGCACTAACTCTGATGGGATAGATGAGAAAGCCTCACTGGATAAGTAAGTCAAATTATTCATGTACTGCGGGCAAGAATCACAAGTAATAAACACTATTAACTAAATATAGGATTGGGAAAAATAATAAATACAAAAGAAAAGAAGACAAAAGCTAGTAAGAACTTCAACAATGTAACATTTGCAACAACTAATTTTTACACCCAAAAAAAAAATTGTAATGACCAATGGATGGCTTAAAATGCCTTGGAGAATCCTCAAAATAAAAATAATGAAACAGAAAACTGATCCTAAAATTAATAATATTTCTGGTCAGAGAATAACAAATTCAAAAGAGTACATATATAAAGAGTATGGGAGTACCTCCAAGTTCCTACCACATAGAAATTTCAAGGGTAAAGTGCAAAAAATCCCTTTATATAAAAAATGTGCAAAAAACACCCCTACAATTTAGTATGTGCATATAAATCCCTAACATTTGAAAATTTGTGCAAATTGCCCCCCTGATTGTCAATTTTGACCAATTTTTTTTATAAAATCCCCAAAATACCCTTTAATAAAAACCCCTTTTTTCTTTTTTCTCTTTTGCTTTAATAGCATTTCAGGTATTTAAGTCTTCAAATTGAGAAAATGTATTTATTTGCTCTGTAGGGGATTTTTGCACATTTTTGTATGTAACGGGGGGTTTCTTGCACTTTACCCAACTTCTAATTAAATGAGAACATATACAAAAATTGCATCGTCATGGCATACGAATGAATATAAATTGAAGGAATTCAATGTTGAAAATTTTCTAGTCTGTGTGCATCAAAACAAATTCGACAAAAAAAATCACAGAATTCAACATGATTTACATGACTTTGATCCGTGGCTGTTAAAAGCGTGTGTAGACTCCACCAAATAAAAAAAAATAAAAAATCAGGCTCTTTCAGTCGATAGGCCTCAACCTACCATAGCCAAGGCTCCTTTAGGTGCATATAAAGCTATCAGGTGCTCGCACTCAGTAGGTTCCAGAATCAACAAAACGGACTTGAGGGATCCCAAAGTGAAACCCCCAAAAAAATGAAAAATCTGATTTTCCAAGTCAGAAAGTACTCATTTAAAGGAGTACAAATACAAAGAGCGGGTGCCTAAAGCATGCTACCAGGAGCTCTACACTTAATCCCAAAAATTCCGAAGCAACATTTTTAATTGCACCCAACTTTGAATAGGAGAAGGGATAATAAACCAATTGAGGGAGAGAATATTCAAAACCAAATGAAGATTTTTGACTTGTGTCCATAGAGCCAGCAAACTCACTTGTTCAAGGGTATACGTTTTAGAGATGTATGGAATAATGCAAAAAAACAATATAAATGTAGCATATAATTGTTTAAGAAAGAACTACAAATTAATCTCTGGTAGTGCAGTTTGTTTTGGGTAGCAAGGGTATGCCCTTGCTTTTTGGCCTTGTACATTATTTTCTTCTATTTGTTCATAAAAATCTCAGTAAGGAGGGAACAACACAAAAAAAAAAAAGAATAACAATTAAGAGAATGCATGCCACGTGGCTCAATAGTACTGAAGTATGGGATATACATTGTCATGGTACTAAATTAATGAGTTACACTATGAAACTCTGGGAGAATGATTGAGCAACGACTAAGCCAGGAAACTGAAATGTTGGAAAATAAATATGAATTTATGCCGTGAAGGTCAACAATGGGGGCTATTAATTTATTGAAGAGACTAATGGAAAGATATAGAGAAAAGAAAAAAGCTCTTCAAATGTTTCCATTAATTTAAAGAAAGCCTGGCTATAATAGAGTACCTAGAAATCACTTATCAAAAAAAATAGAGTATCTAGAAATCTAATATAGGTGGTTTTAAAAATAGAAGAGTCACAACCCCAAGGGGTTGGCCTAGATGGAAAAGACTTAAGCCCTAGTGCCTCATGAAGCATCAAGTCTCAGGATCGATTCCTGCTAGGTGCAAACAATTCCTTAGAGGGGGGGTGTGTGAGTACCAACTAGGGGAAAAAACAATTAGAAGAGTCGCAACAACTCCGTGTGTGTGTGTGTTTTTGTTTGGGGTGAAATTGTCAATCTACAAACCCATTCACTAACACAACCGGCTCTTCCTTCTGATCATTCTCCTTTACTAGCAATTCAAATCCTTAGGATTCGTTTGGTTAGCGTCAACTAGCCAGAAAAGAAAAGAAACAGAAATTTTTTAAAAAAAAATTGGGAGTTTGGTTAGGATGAAAAATAATATTTTTAGGAAAATAGGATTCTTGGAACAGTTGATTTTCCCGAAAAAGTTTCCTCCATAAAACATGCGAAAATTTTAGTTTCCCGTGAAAGTTGTATCATTATATTTTTATTTCTTGTTATGCCCGTGTTACTGACTTATTCCTATTGCATGATGATGCATATTGAAAAAAAATATGTATGTTACTTAGTATTGAACTCATAGGGGTAGTTTTGGTACGTGAAATCATTTTCTTTCACTCTCATGCTATCCAAACTAATAAAATAATATTTTTTCACAAAATTCTCAAAAAAAAATTCATGCTAACCAAATGCATAATAGAAACTTCACTTTCTTTTCTTTTCACTTTCCAGCATCAATTCCAGGTAACCAAACGGACACTTAGTTTTTTGTTTGATTTGGAGTTGATAATGTTGAATGCATCTCAAGGACATACCTAATGCTCTGAATCATATCACACCATCTAATGCAACATTCTAATGCAAGATGCTCGATAATGGTATAGATAAAATCAGCTCTAAACATACTAAATGCTCTATATGGATTGTCCCTATGCTGATATATATATATATATAAGTTTGAGAACCCCTAGATGCATTTAAATAGCTTTCATTCAGGTCAAAAGAAATAGGTCTAAAATAGGAAATCGAGTCCCGCAAGGTAGCAATCCACTCTTCGTTCAATCGATTGAACTAAAAATAGTGAGGGTCAATCGATTCGATACCTTGATCACTCAAATTCCATTTTATTTACAACTTACTTTTTCAATTATAAACTTGCTCATATCTAGACTCAGATATATAATACATATGAAATAAGTTTATATGATAGCACAAGATGGTACCCTAATTGGTTAGTAAATTCAAGAGGTTAATTTACTTCTTTTACCCGTCTGGTCTTCGATTTCTCATCATCAAAGTCCATGGATTATGAGGTGACTTCTAACTCCAACTCAACTAATTTTCAAAAGTAAACCAAATTGAAACCAAAAATACAAATTCTTATTTTCTTATAAAAATTTCAATACTAAATCCTAAAGACCTAACAAATAGCACCCTTTAGAAAAACCGAATTGAAAGAACAACAAAAGAACTAAATACCCTTAAGATGTTTACATGGCAAGAGCAGTTGGCCTATTTAACAGAAAAGAAATGGATTCCACCAGTCAACTTATAAATTGTAACACGGGAACAATAAGAGGCCAAAATTAAATGAGAATGAAAATAAATTGTGCTGGTAGATGCAGTCTTAACTTTTTACATCAAGTGGTAATAAGTTTTTTTCCTGTTATTCAATTAAGAGTACTATTTATACTATAAACATTTTGAACAGTCAATTTATATAAAACCTACAAATTTGTATCAAAACCTTACCATTTTTACATTGTTGTGGCAGTCAAACAAAGGCTTGCGAGCAATCAAGTGATATGCAATGCACCCAAAACTAAAAATGTCAGTAAAACATCCAACTGAAGATGCTTTACTTCGAACCAACTCCGGTGCAGTGTAATCCAGAGATGGCTGAAGGGGCAGCACAGAATCTTCAACATCATATTCCTGCTCAATCAAAATCGAATTAGAAAAAATTAGATACTCTTGATTTGTGGTTGGCAGAACAATAAAAACTATCACTGAAGCAGAACTAAATGAGCTAGAGTTTATGATAATCACTTAAAACTTGTAACATTCGGAAAAAAAAAACAGGAACTACATGGCAAGATGACAAATCAAAGTACCGCATTTTCTACCGTCACATGTAGGTGTCCTAAGAATAAATCCATCATTTCCCCACAATTGTGGTTAATTTAAATCAGGAAACATATATATATATATATATATATATGGGAAGGAGCTTGCTGGAAACAGTAATAAATTGCTAACCTGTGATGTGTCATGTATACACACCAAATGCATCCTGAAAAACTTCTAAAGGATCCTGGGGTTTTAGACCAGATGGAATTTACTCCTACTGTTCTAGCTTCCGTCTCCCACATAAGTTGTGAGGCTATTGATTTAGGGTTAAAGAAGGTTTGCAGTGACTCTGCTGATGTTGCGTACATTGGTCTTTAGGGTGAGCTGTTCTAGTGTGTTGGAAAGATCGGAGGTAAGAGGGACAGTCCTGCAAGGACAACCACCCCATATGCACTGAAAACTATCCATGCGCGAGATGTGTGGTTGGTTTGTCAGGAGCTAACGAGGCAGAGAACACTGGAAGGTGCAACATGAATTGGAGGACATCCAGAACCCATACTGGTTAAGGATAATATGGTCTTCTTTTAGGATGCTGGTGGTGGAATCAGTCATACCAATGGTGGAGGCGGCTCACCAAAGATTTGACTAAGTTAAATCAAGCCTCTAGTAATAGTTTGCAAGGGGCAGATTCCCATGGAAGTGTTATCTAGAAGACAGTAGTTCCTCCTAAAGTAGTTTTCTCTGGACACAAATAGCCAATTGGTATTATATGTGTAGGAGATCTGGCAGATTATAGGTCATTTATTGCTCCAATTCCATTAACATGAGATTTGTGGATGTTGCTCTTCT